ATTTACTCGGGTTATCTTTATCTAATATTAAATTTTGTTTGATGATCTGCAACATGCAAGAGTGACAAAAAGGCAAATAAATAAATAAATAAAATAAATCAAGAAGGGAGCAAATACTTTTCACAACCTTGTCTTATTTTAATGTTCAACATTTCTTTCTCATTTATGCTGAACAGCTGATTGTTTTATGTTATCTTGTGCAAGCCTGCTAAACAAGATTGCACAACACATTTGCTGATTCCTTGTTTTAGAGTACTGAGGGAGAGATAAGCTGTCACTTCCTGTCTTATTTGATTGGAATGAAAACTTGCAGGTTGTAAACCACTAAACCACATGACTTGTCTTTATTGCCAACAATGCACTACGGTAGAATAATATGCAGTCATGTTAAAAAAGTTTTTGCAGACATATAAAACTTAAGTAAACTCTTACCGTTTCCATAGGAATTAAGAGGGCAAGTATTAGCTAGTTGCTGCTAATCAAATGCGGTTGATTAAATGATCATCAGCAAGTGTGAGCACCTCTATAAAAGCAGATATTTTGGCAGTTTCCTGGTCTGGAGCATTCAGGTGTGTGTTAAAAGAATGCCACATTCTTGCCAAAGTGCAATGCTCAGAGAAACTGCAACAGTCCATCAACTACATCTCAGACTCTGCCTAGTTAGCATGAACAAATGTTAAAGTTCATGACAGTACAAATAGAAAAAGAATGAACAAGTACAGCTTGTTTAGAAGTGTTGCCATGAGAAGGTCTCACAAATTCAAAGTGGAGATGTTAGGCCATGATACTCAGATATGGCAAAAAACAAACAAATCATATCAGCACAAATACCTCGCACCAACTATCAAGCACAACGGTGGAGGAGTGAGGGTTTGGTGATGACTGAAAAAAAATAGGTGCAAGTGTAGGCCAGAATCTTTGTAAAACTCTGCTGGAAAACCATGTGGACCTGGGGCTTTGTTGTTTGGGAGATGCTGTGGGGCTTCTGGGAATTTTGGACATTGAAAGAGGTGAATCCAGATCCACAATCTGTCATGTAGTTTCGGTAGATTTATCTTCTGCAATGTCAGCGCTGGAAGGATTCATCTGTGTGGAGTATAAAGCTTCATAAAAGAGTAAAAGATTTTTTTTATTTGTTGTGGATCATGAGTAATGTTCCCAGTGGAATCCTTCATAGAATAAATAGTTGTAGTTGTTTTTTCTTTATTTAGTTTTAACTGTTCTGTTGTTTTTGTTCTACTTCCAATAAAAGCGTTTAATCCCTGCTTTATCTTATGTGAACAGTAAGATATTATTTTCCTCACAGAAGACATGGTGAAACTGCTGATAGTGATTGGGCTTGTTTTGCAGCCACAAGACTTGGCCACCTTGCAGTCATTAAGTTGACTAAGAACTCGTCTGTATACCAAAGTATTTTCGAGTCAATTGTGAAGCCAATTGTCTGACAGCTGAAGCTGCAACAGGACAATAAATGTAAGAACAGCAGCAAATCTCCAACAGAATAAATGAAAAAGAAAAGACTCAAAGTGTTACAATGACACAGTCAAAGTCCAGACCTCAGCCAGATAAAAATATTGTAGTGGCACTTTAAGAAGGCGGTGCAAAAACAAATGCCCACAAACCTCAATGCACTGAATTCAATTTCAATTCAATTCAATTTTATTTATATAGCGCCAAATCACAACAAAAGTCGCCTCAAGGCGACTTTTACAATGAAGCAACATTGTAAAGATGAGTAGGCCAAAATTCCTCCACAGCAATGCAAGAAACCGATAAAGTCATACAGAAAGTGATTACTTCAAGTTATTGCTGCTAAATGTGGTTTTACAAGTACTGAATCATGGGTTGTAGGTATTTTTTCACAGTACTGCATAGAAGCCTGTGAGAAATTATTTTTCACATGACTCAAATATCCATCGTATTAGTACTGCGAACGATTGCCTAGAATTCCAAAGATTCATTCATTGATTAATTTTCAAGAAAAAATGTACAAATAAAGTAGCAAAAGTGGGAGATGGATAACATTTTGAAAATACTATATGCAGCAGTGCAACACACACTCTAACTATGCAACAAAAGCTATGAAATAAACAGGAAGGGTATATTGTGCCCCAAGTATTAATTCATTTTCAGTCTTACAGGAGTTACTTAAATGTTACACAAGCAAAGTCATGTGCAAAGTCATGTGCTGTTGTCATGGTTTTCTAGGAAAATGGGAAATAGATGCAGTGATTTATGGAGACCTGGACAAAGCTACATGGAAATACAGCACAAACAACAAAAACAGAATTTGAATGATCCAAAAATCTTTGGTATGACCGCCTATTCTTTGACATATTAGAGTAGTTTTCTAGCTAATTCTTTAAGTAGTCTTCAGGATTAGCTCTCCAGGTTTCTTCAATGACCTAAAAAACATTTTTTGTGTTGTTTTTTTTCTGTTGTCTGTCACAGTTTTGTTGCAATATACCTTCACCTTATAATATTTGTGTAATTTAGTATATAGCAGTCTTTTCTCCTTGCTTTCCTATCTTAAGAATGACTTCTTTATAGCTTCCTTACACTGAGACTATTTCTAATGAGGCTTTGGAGCCACTGAAAGTCCAGGGACACCTTCAGAAAGTCTGAAGCACTATTGCTCAAGACAGCACCCTATTTTTGCAGGATAACAAGCGAACAAGGCAGAGTAGCTAATTCAAACAATCAAAAAAAGTACAGCGGTTAAAATAGGTTTTGAATACGTCACCACTTTTCTAAGTAAACATATTTCTAAAGGTGTTATTGATGTGAAATTCTCACCAGATGTCAGTAACAACTGATCACATCCACACATGCAAAGAAATGAAACCACAGATATCCTTAAACTGTGTATAAAACTGAGAAATGACACAGGGAAAAAGTATTGAACACGCTTACTGAAATTTATTCAACACTTTGCACAAAAGTCTTTGTTGGTGATGACAGCTTCTTGATGCCTCCTGTATGGAGAAACTAGTCGCATGCTGTGCTCAGGTGTGATTTTGGCCCATTGTTCCACACAGTCTTCATATCCTGAAGGTTCCGTGAGCCCCTTCTGAACTCTGACCTTTAGTTCTTTCTATAGATTTCCAATTGAATTCAGGTCAGGTGATTGGCTGAGTCATTCTAGCAGCTTTATTTTCTTCCTCTGAAACAAACTGAGAGTTTCCTTGGCTGTGTAGTTGGGATCATTGTCTGCATTTCATCTTCATCAGATGGCAGCAGATCTTTATCAAAAATGTCTCGGTATATTTTTCCATCCTTCCTTTGATTATATGAAACGTGCCAGTACCGTACGATAAAAAACAGTCCCACATCACGGCGATTTTCACAGATTTTCTTCCAGTATTTCACAGGCTTATCTAAATGTTGTTCAGTAAACTTTAAACATGCTTTAACATGCTTTTTCTTCAGCAATGAGCATGGATACAGGGCAACGTGGTTGAGTGCATTAACTATTGTTTTCTTTCAACTCTTCAGATAATTCTTTTCACTCCTCTGTGTCACGGTACTGGGTCGTGTGACCCAGTGTTTGAGTTTTATGTATTTTTTGTATTCATTGTCAAACTAGTTAATTTCTAGGTTGCTGTTCAGACCTTATTTCTTAGTTATTTCTGTCATCTCCCCCCGTACTCAGTAAATTCATGTCATGTTTCATGTCTGTGGTTAAGTTCATCTCATGTTTTATCTCCATGTCTATGTCTCTGTGTTTCCTGTTTTATTTTGTAAGAGTCTGGTGTTCTTTGTTCATTGTAGTTAGTGTTACTCTCCCCTGTATTGTCATTATGTTTCATTCGAGTCAGCTGTGTTCTCATGTGTCTCCACTTCCCCTGATCACCTCATGTGTGTATTTAAGTCCTCAGTCTTCCTTTATTCGTTGTCGTGTTGTCTGTGTACTGCTCCCTGGTCAAGTTAAGTGGTTTTCAGGATTCTGTGCAGTTCATGTTTGCCATTTGGTTTATGTTGTTTTTCATGCAGCTGCACAATGAGGTTCCGTGCAGGTCATGTCTGTTTCGTCACGCTATTTGGTTCACAGTTACCATGCATCTGCACAGCATTCTGTTCACAGTGATCATAGTTATTCTTTTCAGTCAGGTTAGTGTTTCTCCTGTTTAGGTTTTTGGTTAGTTGCAGTCTCTGTCCCTGTTATGTTTTGTCCACTCCCCTCTGCATCAGCCTGAATAAAGGCTCGCTCTCAGTTTAAGTTCACTCCCATCTCCTCAACTGTGTTCGCGCCTGGGTCCACCACACACACTCTCCACACGGTCTGCCCCCGCTGACCATGACACTGTGCTTGAAATCTTGCGGGGAGTACCTGGTCGTGGGCGGTTTATGCTGCAATTATGTTCTTTCCACTTTCGGATTATGGCCCCAACACTGAAACCTTCAGTAGTTTAGAAATTCTTCTTTAACCAATGAAATCAGTATGTTTTGCAACAATAAAGTTGCAAAGGGCCCGAGAGAGCTCGTTAGTTTTGCCCATCATTAAATGTTTCTTCATGCATTCAGTACTTTTTCCCTGTGTCATTTCCGAATATTACGCATATCTTAATTCATTGTGTGGAAATGGGTTCCAAAACTGAAACCCAGAGTGTGTTAAATTTAAGGATGTATGATATAAGGATGTTTTGCTTAAGAAGTTCACTTTTTATTAGTAAGATCAGGCTTGTGTTCTTGCTTCTTTCAAAAGTTTCTTCAGTGCAACTTCAAAAAGCCTGCTCTGGTAGATATTTTCAGTTCTGCATCTCTGTCAGCGTTGGTGACATCCTTCCTGTCAGAACTTGCAGTGGTATTGCTCCTTTCCTGAAGACACTTTAGGAAACTTAGACGATACTTCAGCTGCAAAGCATGAACTCTGCTGATAGAAAGATTTTGATTTCCGAGGCAAACATTCTTGTTATCATAAGCCTTCCAAAGATTCTGCAATTGCTCAATACTGGAACAAATAGTTCTCCCAGTTAAAGAATGCACAAAATGCAACTCTAGTCTTTCAGAGAGAGAAAAAAAAAGATTTATTTCATTTTGGATTTCAGTACAAGTTTGAATTCACTGTCATATATTTGTGTTTATATCTTTTTCAAAAAAGCTGTCAAGGGACACTTCCTGTCACCGAACGGCAGCTCTCTCAGTTGGCCGCAAGGTGGCGCTTGGATCCTTATTTTTTGGCGAAGAACTCGTTGCAGAGCATAGTGAGGCAGGCGACCAGCGTGACATACTCTTGAAAATCCACAGTGCCGTCCGCGTTTGCGTCCAGACCCTTGAAGATCTTGTCCACTTCTGCCTTGTCAGTGGATTTCTGCAATGGAGAAAAGTGTTAGCTTGAATTTAGACACTAAGTGATCATAAAACAAAGAACTGCTCAGCCTACTTCTGCCCAAATAGTTGCGCAAACCACAGGGGAAAATCTGTGTATTTTCCACTCTCTCAAAGTAAAAGCTCTGCATCAGTATGGCAGTGTTTTCAGGCAACCTACTGGGTGTGAGATAGAGGGAGGATAGAGACCACTCACGCCAAATATGTCTCCAAGCTCATTTTGAAGAAGTTCCTTCAGCTCTCCCTTGCTTAGGGTGAGTTTGTCTCCCTCCTTGCCAGAGTATTTATGAAAGGTGCCAATGAGCAGTGCCATAGCCTGCTGGATGCTAGAAGACATGCTTGGGGCTAGTTTAGGGAGACAGAAGGAAAACAAAATGTTACGTCTGAGACTGCAGTGGTATTTGTTTATACAGGAAATCCACACTGATTAAAGAAAGATGCCTCCTCTGAATAACGTTTACACATAATTCTGCTATGACTCATTATCTGGTGCAGATTAGGCTGAATCACGTGGTATTGTGGTCAAATGTAGGATCTTAACAAAGGACATCATTGATATTTGGAACACGAGGAATTATTTAGAACTAAACGAGGGGGGAAAAGGGGAATAGGCAGGGCCTGCTTGGTAAAACCAGAGTGAAAGAGATTGAGTCGTTTAACCCTGTGAGGTCCATTTTAGGTTTGCCTAAAATAATGATGCAGTGAAGCTACTCAGTTACTTTTGAACCACTTCTACAAATTACATTGCTAATATATTTAAATTCTGGAATTATACATGTATACATGCAGTAAAACATATGCATGTGCAAGTGCATACTGGAGGTCATAGCAGAAAACAGTGGCTGATATTACTGTTTGTCTTTGCCAAAGTTTCTCTGGGTTCTCAGTGGAGCTTGATAAAAATAAACTCAAGATTTCCACCTGGGCCCCACCACTCTTATTTCCCTTTTCAGCGGTCTCTAATGTAGCGTCTCTGCCAAGTGACACAGGACATTGTTATGGCAACAGCAGAAGGAGATAAGGAAGCAGGTTGCAGCTTAATTAAAGTCCCCAAAGCAACATCAGATGTCTGTTCTTCTAACATAGTATATCTAAATTATGCGTTCTTTCCACTTGACTGTATAAACCCAAGAGATTTGCTAGTGGTTATGTTGTGAGTCATACAATGTTTTTCCCTCTCTAGGGTGCGCTAAGCTGAAGAAACTTTGGCATCAGAGAGTTTGGAAACCGAAGGGAGTTACAAGGAAAGAGAGCACAAAACCTGTACCGCATCATTCCTCAATTAGGTTGCAGTTAAAGGTGAGAATCGCTCCTAACCCCCCCAAAAACTTTTTAATGCATCCGTAAAAATGAGTTTCCAAACAAGTTAGTTGGATTCAGACAAAATGAGCTCAGTCTTTTGCAGCATCAAGTTTCATAAGCAAGAAGAGAAGTTTAAGCATTAAAGTCCACATGGATGTGATAAACTTTGCAGTTCATCAATACTTTTCTGCTAATTCTTAATGTGCATTCATACAAAACTAACTGTAATGAGCATTGCTTGATCAAAACGAACAAACAAACAATCAAGAAAACCCAGGAAAAGTTTCCAGAGCGAGCAAAAAAAGCACTTGTAGGATTTTCTACTCACCAGTGCTGAGGTTTAAGACAATTGGAGGCTACTGTTGATCTTGGTAGAGCTGTTGTGATGAACCAGTGGGTGGCAAAGATGCTTTATACATCACCACACCCAGTATCCCTCCCCCCTCCCTCTAGAATGCTCCTTTCATCTCCAACCACTCCTCCTTCCTTCACTTTTTTAAAACATATTCTTTAACAAACACGACACTCGTGTGCTGTTACAGTGAATGTTTGCATTTGAGGATTTGGAGAATTCTAAAAACTTGCTGCATGTTTTACAAAATGTTTCTGATGTTATGATCTCAGGACTGCTTTTGAATCTGGAATTGCTGCAGAACAAAAGACAATAAAATATGAAATGTAAAGTTTGGGGTGCTGTGTCTTTAAGAGGACTCTTTGCATGAGACTATTAAAGTAAATTAAATAAATAATGGTCATGTAACAGTCATGCATCAGGGATCTGACGGCCGCTCTCGCCGAGCGTCACGCTTCGCTCACCCAGGCTGGAGGGGGCACGGCAGAAACGAGGCGAGGCACTGGCTGCTCAAGTGGCGGAGAGACGTGGCTTGTTGGAGCACGCTGGGCTCATGGCGTTCACGCAGGAACTGTTGAAAGAAACAGATCCGCCCTGTTTTGTGCAGGCTTCTTGCCAGACTCATAACAGGTTTCCTTTTTGTTTACGTTAAGTAATCACTCTCTGATTTGATAGAATAGATCTTAGATTAGCGCTTTCTTTCTTTTTTTGAGGGGAAATCTTCAGAGACTTCTCTGTGTTGTTTGGCTTCAGGGTAGAAGAAGCAGCCTTAGAATGTATAGGAATCATAACTTCCAATATAGGATTCATGTTTTATAATTGACTTGTTTTTCAGCTGATCATCTTGCCAAATAAAGAAACAGCATAAGCAGTGTTGTCAGTAAATCCAAAGAATAGCACAAAATGTGTGTATTGCCAAAGTTTCCAGTACCATATTTTTATTCTTTATTCATGAGTCTTATTTATATAATAATAAGCCCCTTTGTTATTTTCTTTCTGTAACAAGCTGTTTTACCTCCCGTGCATCTTTGGGCCTACATTCTTATGACTGGCTGCCTATTTTATTACATTTACTGGGACTATTTGTGCATACCCTTAACTCATTATTAGAAAGTTCAGTTTATTGTTGCATCTGTTATTATAAAAGTAAATATCCATCAGAGAGGAGGCAGCAGACATGAAGTCTTTTCTTACACTTTTCAACAAGACATGCTTTGCTGAGGGTTTATAAGTATTAATGGTATATGTTGTTAAATAAGTGGTAAACTGGGTGTAGTTATATTGCACTGCATTATATAGAAAGTGTGATTGCCATGCGAGGCACAGTTCAAGTTGCATAAAGGACAGTAATTCTACATTATCATAAGACTGCATGGATGGAACAGTTATGGTTTCTTTCCATGTGCAAAATATGGATTTCTGACCCACTTAAATTGCAACAACACAAGAAGAAAATACAGAGACCCCTTTACATTTACTTTACTTTTGTTTTTCAGAGCCCTCCACTGGCTCTTGGCTGCTTAGCAAAAGGCAAAGCAATAAATTACCCAGGCATACTCACACTTGTGTGCTACATTCCTGTTTTCTTCTACTCAGTAAAATGTGCCTCAGATTAAATTGTTCTCATCTATTTTGCCTGTCTCGCTCAGGTGCTGACTTGTCCAGAACACGACCAGGAGAAGCTGCAGTTCTATTGTCGGTCATGTCAGCGGCTGCTCTGCCCCCTCTGCAAACTGCGCCGCATTCACACCGGACATAAAATCCTCCCAGTGGCCCAGGCGTACCAAGCGCTGAAGGTTTGACTCACAATCTGACATCTATCTCTGTCCCGCACAGTGAAAGGTTTACTAGAGGCAGGAATACACACAAAGCAAACATGTAGTAGTGAAGCCAGCGTATATGTGAATAGTGTGAAACCCTCCATTTCACAGTTTAAAATAATATATTATAGTAGTCAAAGACTGCTTCACTGCTTCCTCTGACAAACAAACTGAAATCAGCTGATTGTTGCACAAGTGCAAATGCAACCGATAAACAGGATCGATCGGCAGGCAGACTAACAATTCCAAGGAATTGGACTAGAGAACCGGTTCTTGATTCCCGTCCCTATCTATCCTTCCATCTTCTTTCACTTGTCTGGAACACCTCACCCAGGTGCCATCTGACAAGGTCAGATAAACAACCTCAACTAGCTCCTTTTTATTTGGAGAAGTAGCGACTCTGCTCCAAGTCTTTCACGCAAGACTGCAGAGATGAGATTCTGAGCTATCATGGAGGAATTGTTGCACCACTTAGACTAAGTCCAGATCTCTAAAATAGTTTTGCACTTCACTAACATTTGAAATACAACCAGCAAATGCAATGAAGGTGAAGATAAAAATGATGCAGTGCTGTTTAAAAAGCTACAGTAATGCAGCTTTAACTGTTAGACAAGCATAGTGTGCAAGATAATGCAGATGTGTGGCTGTGTGAAACTGATAATCTGTGTGCATTTGTTGTTTCTGTGTCACATATTCGGTGTTAATTTGACAGGAGAAGATTACAAAGGAGATGAACTACATTCTGTCCAACCAGGACACAGTTTTGGCTCAGATTACCCAGCTGGAGAGTTCCATCACACAGACTGAGGTGATTAATACTTCTGGCCCACAAAATCTCCCAGAACATGGGATTAAAATCAGTCAGCAGCTACTGCAAGTATTTGTTCAGCTTGACTGTTTAGGATTGGATACTATGCAACTGCTGCATGTTTCATACATAACTCCAAACATGTGTCTTTTCTCAAAGTGTTTTATAATGTTATTTGGACCCTTTTTAAGAATGTACCAGCAGAAGCCTGGTGTTAGTTCTCCAAACTTGTCTTTGTGCTTTTTCCTCACCAGGTAAACAGTGTATCGGCCAGAGAGCAGCTGGCTCAGAGCATCAGGGATTTGACGGCCGCTCTCGCCGAGCGTCACACTTCGCTCACCCAGGCTGGAGGGGGCACGGCAGAAATGAGGCGAGGCACTGGCTGCTCAAGTGGCGGAGAGACGTGGCTTGTTGGAACACGCTGGGCTCATGGCATTCACGCAGGAACTGTTGAAAGAAACAGATCAGCCCTGTTTTGTGCAGGCTTCTTGCCAGACTCATAACAGGTTTCCTTTTTGTTTACGTTGAGTAATCACTCTCTGATTTGATAGAGAGTCTCTTTTATCCCTACTGCGTCTTGTCTCCTTAATGGCAAATAATTGTCCTTGAATTTTCTATCATTATTATTGTTATTATTGTTTTATAGTATTGTTCTGTTGTTCTTATCCTCCTGCTGCTAAACTAATTTCCCCTTGTGGGACAATAAAGAAAATAGAATTTGAATTGAATTGAGAATAGATCTTAGATTAGCGCTTTCTTTCTTTCTTTTTTTGAGGGGAAATCTTCAGAGACTTCTCTTCGTGCATTCTTCTCCGTGTTGTTTGGCTTCAGGGTAGAAGAAGCAGCCTTAGAATGTATAGGAATCATAACTTCATTGGTTCCAATATAGGATTCATGTTTTATAATTGACTTGTTTTTCAGCTGATCATCTTGCCAAATAAAGAAACAGCATAAGCAGTGTTGTCAGTAAATCCAAAGAATAGCACAAAATGTGTGTATTGCCAAAGTTTCCAGTACCATATTTGTTATTTTTTTTCTGTAACAAGCTATTTTAGTGCCTTGCACCTTTGGGCCTACATTCTTATGATTGGCTGCCCAATTTATTAGATACTGGGACTATTTGTGCATACCCTTAACTCATTATTTGAAAGTTCAGTTTATTGTTGCATCTATTATTATAAAAGTAAATATCCATCAGAGAGGAGGCAGGGAACACCCTGGCTAGGTTCAAATGTAAATATGTGAAAGGAAATATGGAAAGCCCCACATACAGCACAGTATCTGGAAATAAAAACTGAAGGGATGTCACTAATGTGCTGTTTATATTCTTTTTATTACAATAGCAATATAGATTAAAAACAGTCTTATCTTTTATTCATTAATTTTTCTTTTTCATACGTCCTTAAAAAACTGTGAGTCTTCCTCACTGTCCCTCCTGAAAGCGTTTGTTGATTCCTTCCTTGCCCTCTGCCCCCTGAGTCTTCACCATCCTGGCACTTTTCTGTAGAGTATCGCCGTCGTGGTGTAGTACCAGGAGGAGCGTCCAGAGGTGGGATCAGAGGAGGACTGGCTGCTGCACGCTGGGGCTGGCAGCGATTGGACGAAGTGAGTGGAAGCAGCGCTGTGATTGACAGGTTGGAAATGGACAGCGTGTACGTGCTGCGGGTGAGAGGCTGCAACAAGGCGGGCTACGGAGAGTACAGTGAGGAGGTGTACCTGCACACCCCGCCTGCACCAGGTGAGGGTACACACCGAGCTTCTTAGTTGTCCTTATTAACAACTGAACAGGACGACTTTGTCACAGTGTAAACACACCCAAACAACATGGCTGTTTGAGGAAAAAAAAAAAAACCAGAAACATGTCAAACTAGTTTGACATGAGGTTGTTTACATGCATGTCACAGATTATCGTGGGAAAGCAACCACACCTTGAAACTGGACTACAACCAGTTTTATACCATATATATTTTTGGGAGTCAATGTTTTATTTATGAGCTCTTATCTGCCGACTCAACATTTACCCCAATTAATAATCATGACTATGACACCAAGCAATTGCATCCCAGTTTAAAGTGCAGTGACTTTCAGGCATTGCTTCAAAAAGGTTCAGATGTTTTCCTGCATAAAGTTTTTTAAATTTTCTGCACAGGCGGCCTCTGTAAGCACTGTGACTTTGTCAGAATTATCACCTTATGATTGTATCTCTCTTTCACCAAGCTAACTGATAATAAACATGCTGTGTATAAACACTGTTGTGTAAAAGTATTCGCCCCATCTGTCTTAGTTTTCTTCATATGTCACACTTACATGTTTCAGATCATCAAACTAATTTTAGTATTAGACGAAGATAATACAAATACAAAAAGCACGTTTTTGTATGATGATTTAAAGTTCTTAAATGATGATTTCAATTATTAGCAAGGGGGAGAAAAAGCTATTCAAGCCCACCCGGCCATGTGTGAACAAACAATTGCCCCCTGTTACGCCCCAGTCTAGGGGTACAAGAACATAACATAAGAGTTGAAAAGGATTGACCCTGCCCTGGTCCCCAAAACCATACACAGAGGGAAAACCAATTGCTTCATGAACAGTGGTTTATTGTCTGAAGCGTGACTCCGGGGTGAACAAAGGCCAAAATAACAAACAAAACCAGCTTAATCAGTCAAGGAGGTGCTACCTAAACCCTACGTGATGAAAAGAACAAACAAAAGACAAATGCTACGCCTAACTCCCTAACTGAATAAACAGGAGGGAACAATACAGAAACAACAAGGCAGCTCACCCTTTCGGCTTCAGTGACTATTTACAAGGTGCTATTTACAAGTGAAGGCTAAATTACACACTATATACAAACTCAATAGGTCAAGAGAATCACAAATATCACAGAGTTTGGAGGCCAGGGTCAGGTCTGCTGCTGCTGTCAGTTGCTGCCCCGGGACAACTGCTGGTGAGGGATTTTGAAAGCGACCACATGATCAGGGGACCAATCAGCAGCTGTCAGCTTATCCAGTCAGGGACCTGCAAAGACTTAAAGACACAGAAAAAGAAACAGCCACCAAAACACATTATGGCCTGGGCCATAACACCCCTAAACCTAGTCATTGTTGTGATGGCAGCAAGAACTGCAATCCAGCTTTTGCAATGCCTGCCAGTGAGTGATTCTCCCAGTCAGTCCTGCTCTGAAGGACCTTTGTGGCCGCCCAACTGACTTTTTCGCCGCTGCCCTCTGTGAAATCTTTGGCGATGACATACTTCCATCTCCTCCAGAACTTGACAGAGCTCACAATACATTAGCCCCAAAGCCGAAACAGGGCGACCGACCACGATCAGTGATTCTACGCTTCCACAGGTTTCAGACCAAAGAGCTCATTATCAGGGAGACACGTCGGAGGGGTGTTCTAAACTACCGGACCAGCCGATTCGCATCGTGGAGGATTACAGCCCCAAAATCTTAAACCAGAGGGCCGAGTACAGAGAGGTAATGGCAGAGCTTTACAATCGAGGCCTGAGGCCCTCATTGGCATACCCTGCCCGTCTCCGTATCACCTTAGCCGGAGGAGAGAGGAAGTGGCTACGTTCCGTTGAAGAGGCCTGGCGATACATCGACAACCACCCTACTGTGCAGCCCACACAGTAACTGAGACAGACTGACTTTTGGATCAACACAGCACCCTTACACAGACGACAAACCCCCTTTTTTTTTCTCCTCCCTTTTGTTTTTTAAGCACCCTACAACCTTTTCAAAGGGCCTGGACTCACCGTCAGCGCCTGAGTTACGGTCAGGTGACATAGCGTTTTAATTCCATACCCTCCTGTTCCATCTTAACTCAGAGGTAGAAGTGTTTATATATTTACATTTATATTTATTTTATTTTTATTTAATTTATTCACTTGTGTTGCCTTAAGTCAGAGCTTGTTAGTTTTTACTTCCAATAGTGTTAACCAGTGTTGGGTAAGTTACTTTAAATTAGTAACTTAGTTACAGTACTAGTTACTTCTATCAAAAGTAACTCAGCCACTTCAAGTTACTCGTTACTTTCAAAGTAACTAGGGAAAGTAACTTTGGTTTTACTCAGAATTCTCTTGTTAATGTGTTGCTTCCATAACTTTACCAGTCTTCTAGCTTGCTTACTTGCCACAAATGCACTGTGCCACCTACCAATAGAAAATAAAATAAAATAATGTGCATATTTCCACGAGAGAAATCCCACGCCTGGACCGTCATTGACCACTGCCATGATTCTAGCCTACGTTACAGCGTCATGTGCGCTCTTTACATCCAACACAAAAACTGCAGTCGTGGTGCTTTTGATTGTACTCAGAACTCGGAAATTCTGCACTCCGAGTAGGAAGATGTAGGTAACACCAGACTGCAGATGAGCTGCATACAGGGCTGGACTGGGACAAAAAATTGGCCCGCCATTATAGGAAAAATCATAAAGCCTTTGAATGAAAACAAACGCTGTTGTGACAGTGATGTACACTGTCTTGATGGTATATATGTATCAATCTATCAATCGCTTGTTGTAAGATTCAGATAATTATTTTTTAAAAGCTAGACATTTTAAATGAGAATAAGAAAGAAAAGTATTTCTTTGTGCCCCCCTCTCCCTGTTAATGCCCTACCTGGCTCCCTGGCAACACTTTGCTAGACCTGCCCCTGCACAGTTACCAGCTGTCAGCTACTTAAAAAAGGATCCTGGTGTTATTTGTCTCTCAGAAACAGTTCATAACTTCCCTTCAACTCATTCATGTCACCTAAAAGGTAAACCTGTTTCTCCATCACATGCTCAGCTCTGATGACTCGGTAAGAACATTTCCTGGTTTCATCTTCATGTTTCCCTCTCACCAGATAACCAAACCGATATCATGACCAGCAGCTTTAACGGCTGTGGCTCCAGCAAACATCAGCTGATAGTAGAAAGTAATATTAACTAAATTCTAACAACAGCTGATCAAGTTTAAACGTGCTGCTGTTGTTTAACGCGACATCGGCATGGTTTCTTTCGATAAACAAACAAGAAAGAAAAGCCGATCAGCTGATCATTGATCAGTTTTCATGATTGAAGTAGAAACAGGAGAGAGAGGGTGAGAGAAGAAGAGGCAGCTGTGCAGCAAACACGGAATAACTCCAGCTTTGTGTCTTTTCCATTGTAGCTGAAGTCCGGGACAAACTGCATTACTTTTCACATCAATACAGGGAGTGCAGAATTATTAGGCAAGTTGTATTTTTGAGGAATAATTTTATTATTGAACAACAACCATGTTCTCAATGAACCCAAAAAACTCATTAATATCAAAGCTGAATGTTTTTGGAAGTAGTTTTTAGTTTGTTTTTAGTTTTAGCTATTTTAGGGGGATATCTGTGTGTGCAGGTGACTATTACTGTGCATAATTATTAGGCAACTCAACAAAAAAC